TATATATATATATATATATATATATATATATATATATATATATATATATATATATATATATTTCAAAATTTTCGAGTTATATCAAGAGAAGGTTTTGATTTAGATTTTGCCGCAAAATAAAACATTTCTGCAAATTTTTTTCAAAAAAATAAATAAAGATATCAATATAGAATTTTGACTTATCAAAAAAGACTATTTATCATAATCTTAAATATAAAAAAATATTTAAAAAATTGACATTCTGTCCAGATTTTTTGTACTAAGCGCACTAATGCTGCGCTAATGCCGGACGCCTTTAACTGCTAAGCAACAGCTCGTGTAATAATCTGAAATATACACACAAATAGAGCAAAAAAATTAAAAATTGTAAAATTTGAAATTGCTAGAGGATAAATCTAAATTCTTTGAAAAATTTCCAACAAATTAATATTTTTCCTGAGACATGACATATATAAAAGAAAGAAAACGGAAAAATTACTTTAAATTTTGGGTTTTTAAATATAACAAAAGTTTATCTTCCAATAAATTTTATCTTCCAATAGTATAGTTTTTAAATTTTCTCTTATTCCATTTATTTCAGATTATTACATAAACTGTATCACTAGTCAGTCCGGTTAGTTGACGTCCGGTCAACTCAGCGCAAAAATCTGGACGATGAAATGTTTTTAAATAAAAAATAATTGTTTTATATCTAACCTCTTGTCCACAATCTTGCTTTAATTCTTAAGCCGTAAGAAATTGACCAACCACAGTTGATTATTTTTAAAATAATTTTTAAAATAATTGACTGTGTTTGGCCAATTTATTATGGCTTAAAGCAAGGTTGTGGACAAGGGATAAGAAGATGATAAATAGTATGGTCAAAATCCTCTATTAACTTTATTTATTTCTTAGAAAAAAAATTTGTAAAAACCTCCTATTTTTGGCTATCTAAAAACCAGAATCTTCCCTTCTAATTATAATACGCGAAAGACACCTTGCGTACCAATCTTCAGATAGATCATCTTCTGACTCCGGCAAAGTCGGTTGGTTGAACAAAATGCTGAACAGATAATTATGAACGTCGAGATTCTTTTTTTCATCGACGATCCTCAGTCGCATGACCATGCATTTGCCATCGATCAGTAGTTGCTTGACATATTCTGAGAAGCTGTACGTTGACTTTGTGTTTCAAATAAAAAAAAACTTATTTTATTAATATTGAGATTAACGTTTATATTAATATAACGATTTCAAGGTAGATCACAAAGAAGAAGAGTACCTCGTCAAGTATCTGACAGACTATATCCTCACTCAGTCGTTTGCGTAATTCTTGCTCCACCGTGTAATGTTCTGGCAGTAATTCCTCAACTAGCTCCACGTACGGCGGACTTGTCTTCTTGTCTCTTCTGCGTCCTTCTTCATCCTTGAATATCCATGGGAATAACAACAGACAAGTCTCGTTGCACAACGACGTCGTGAGATGTAGCATCTCTGCCTCGTATCTCGCTTTAGCTTCAGCCTCTATATAACAATATTTACGTTGCATTCAATCACTAACACAAATCGATGTAATCTTCAATTTACGAGGTTACACCACTCTAGTGTCCGAAAATTAAGCGTATTTTTGAAGAACTTTTTGTGGGACAAAGAAATGAATCGAAAATCCGTGCAATAAAGTCTTCTAAACGAATTTTTTATTCATTTCTTTGTTTGCTCACAAAAAAATTCTCCAAAAATACGTTTAATTTTCGGACGCTAGAGTAATGTAACTCCTTAAGTCTTACCCTTTCGGGACTTCCTCGCTGTCTCCTTAGCTATTCTTGCTTCCTCATGGATTTTTAATCGCGTTACTTCTTCTGGACTTCTTTCCGAAACGTCCATTGAGAATCTGTAAGTTTCAGAGATACTTAATACTAGCAAAAGTATGCAAGGAAACTTATTGTTTAGATAAATTTGAAAATATTCCTTAAGAAACACATTTTGTACAGACATGTTGATATTGAGAAAAGAAAAGGAAAGAAAGCATACTCGTGCTCATCGCCGTTTTGAACTCTCTCGAGCTCGGTTGTTAGCATTGTCATAAACTGTGGGCAATGTGCCCCGAACATTAAATTTATCATTCGTCCTTCCTGCCGACAGAGGTAGAAACTAATAATTAATAATTACAATAATAAGTAAATATAATAAATAATAATTAATAACTATAATAATAAATTAATAAATAATTATAAATATATAATTATAATTATAAATATATAAATAATTATAATTATAATAATTATCTTTACGGATATTAGCATCGTACGCGAATGTCTCACTCGAACTTACATGAATAAACATCCACGTGGGTTCGCACTTCCCTTGAAATCTCTGCAGGGCGGTAACGCGATCACAGCTTGCCTGCAAATTCAATGCAACGAAAAAACTTTCTTTACATAAATTTATCCCTAAATGAAATCTAATTCTAACTTTTCTCTGACAGTTACCGTGGCATAACTCAGCGCATCACCTCCAATCTCCATTTTTATCTTTTTCAAGATGCTCACCATACCTGTGCAAGGACCACTCCAATCCGAGTACACATCCACAACTGAGCAACAGCATTAATAATTAACCAAAAACTACTCAATTCCAGCGTTCAGAGAAATCGAAATGAATAAAGAAAGGAATTAAAGGTAACAAAAAAAAATTGTTTTCCTAATGATTCATAGAAATTCATCAAAAACTCACCTACTAATCCCTTTCGTTTCAATACTTTCTCCCATTCTTCGTCATTCAACACCTCCGTCTGCAACGTCGCCGGCGCCACCTTCTTCGCCATTCTTTTCAATGCTTTTCCGCCACCCTGAGATAAAAAAAACAATCGATTAGTTGCATCAATGAACATTTGTCTAAGTGTTTTTAAATTTTCCTTCATAATAGTGAATTTTTCATAAATCCAAAACAACGCAATCCGAGAATCATAAAGAGATAATTATCAGCTTAAAAGTTTCTCTCTGATATCTTTCAAATATGATCTTTTTCATATTGTTTCTTCGTTATTTATTATAAATTTATCGTAATTATATGATCTTTTTTTTCTTTTCAAGGTATTCAGCTCTACCCTTTTGCGATGCAACATCTTCGTAATTTAAACGCTCTCGTGAATAGAAGAAACGCTGATTTTTTCTCGTCAAGAGGCAAAAGCTAAAATCCAAATCGATTGATCTATCTTCGACGGAGTAGAGTGGAATACTGCATTAATCGCGCGTTTTCTGCCGGCTTACATAGGCTCGTCTTCGTTGGCCTTTCTTGTACGGGGATATCGGCGACATGGAGGCACGCGATATAATGTAATGATTAACGAGCTCGCGATACAAATGCACGCACAGGTAATTACGGGGCAGGAAATCGAGGGTTTCGTGAAACAAGTTCTCCTACATTATAGCCTGTCAGAAAGCACTAACCCGGATATTCTCACTAACATCTTCAAAAAAGGACGTTCGCAATCTTATAAAGTATATATTCAGTATCTGCTTATTGCATGGCAAAACATACAATTTCCTGGAAGATAAATACGGCCAGCCTTTATATTCGTATCCATAGGTTTCTCATCTTATTGACAAACTATAAGTATTCGCTAGCTATAAATATTTGATATCTATATGTCAACAAATTCTAATTGCAGAGAGGAGCATCAGATTAGTTATTTTGTATTATACTCAATTATTTATTTTAGTTTATGAAAACATAATAAACAAATCTTTTGTAAATGTTATACATTTAGTACTGTTTGAAAAATTAAAAATAATAATGTAACACTGTTTAAAAAAAAAGAGATAGATACATTGTTATAAAATAAAAATAAATATACTACTATACTTCTCTGTTGAAAAAATCCGATTAAAATGGATAAAAATATATACAAATTTTATTGAAATACTATATGACTTTATCTAAATTTATTATTTCTGTCGGAAATTTCTCATATTTCATATAGAAAAATTATCAATTTCTTTCATTTTATATAATGTAACTTACTTTAAACTCTATTATACTAAACAATTTAATATTTATTTAAATATACATGCTTTTTTTGCAAATTTTATCATTTTTTCTTTTTATCAAATATATGTGTTTCAATTACATAGATTTTCCATATCTAATTATATCAAAATTTTTTTAGCAGGATTGTGAGAGAGAGAAAGAGAGAGAGAGAGAGAGAGAAAGTCATACTATATTAGGCTCAAATAAAACTCTCTATACTAAGAGAAAAAATATCTAAAAAATAAGGATTATTTATTAAGTGGATATTAATAACATATTTACTTCATAAATTTAAATTCTTTTATTTAAATTAAATAAACAATCCCTTTCATGAAAAGCTAAAGTTTCAAGAATATATATTTTCTTATTTGAAAAGTATTTTATATTAGGATAAATAAATATATTATTAATATCCACTGAATAAATATACAGATAACACAGAGAATTCAAAAAGAATTCAAAAAGATTGAATATGTCACCAATTCTAAGTTCATTTTCAGATGCAAAAAGAATTCTTCAGAGTTCAGTTCAGTAAAAAGAATTCTTTTCGTATCTGAAAATAAACTCAAAATTGGTGACTTACGATTGAATTTTTTTTTAATTCATTGTACTATCTGGGTATTTTTTTATTTCTTGTTTTTTTCTTTTAGTGTTTTCTTTATCTTATATTTTTAATTATTAACCGCTTCTTTTGCGCTCCTTAATATAAATTTTCATGTTTGTTGTGTTAAAAGAAAACTTATAATTGTATCCATAAAAATCTACTAATTTACCGGTCAAATAATTCAACGACGGGTCACGTTGCATCGCATTTGAGAAGTTCTGCGTGAGATCGATTGCGTGTCACAAGCGATTATCTCTTGGCGATGAGACGAGGATATTTTAACAATTAAACTGCGCGACTTGCACGTCGATAAATAGCCACCGTCCTTGTTGATTTCTGGATGTCTCGTTGCTACGCGACAATATTAGGGTCTTGTGCGATTATTTGCCTACGCGGGTACATTTCAGTTTTGCGAGGAAACGACAATCAAGATAGCAATAATCTGTTTTTCTTGTCACACATTTACTTTCTGTTTTCTGATAATTTTCTCTTCAACATTTTATCTGAATTTCCAATGTTTGCAAATTTGCAAATATTTATTTATCGTATTTTCTTGCGTTTAGTTTATCAATCCAAAAATCCTGCAATATTTACAGAGCTCGAAGGGGAAACTGGACATCAACGTGTATCGGTTTATTAACACTAGATGGCATCTGTGCATGTGTTTAGAATGCTCCGGTAAAATGTAACTTGGAGCTACTTGAAGCCTTTAGTAGTTTAGTTCAATTTTATTTGTTTTGTTTGTCTTTACAAATGATTCTAGGTGAATTATTCGATGATATCGCAAGTTGTGCCTATATGTGTGTGTCAATGGAATCAAATATTTTAAAAGACTATTGAATCGTGATCGTCGATTCTTTTGAAGCACGGTAATTATTTAAAACAATCCATTATTGACATTGGTAATAGTAGCATGGATTACTGGTATTTGATAGCTTGTAAATATACAAATCGATCAAAATTTGTTTTTTAAAGATACCGTTCTATTTTCAAAGTATCGAGTAAGTGAATATGCAAGTTTAAAGGTTAGATTTCTGTCATAATGTTTATTTTGATGATAGATATTCCCAGCAAGTTATATGTGATAACGTAATCAACATTTAAATTTTCTTTAATTATAATTCCAAGGAATCCTGAATTATAATTTTTTTACATATGTATATAATTGTGTCACTTTATATGAAAAATTGCAATTTGAAATAATAAATAGCAGAAAATAAATTGATAAAATTATAAATATTAAATACATATATATATATATGTATATTAATTTACAGAAATACATTTATAACAAAAGGTTTTACAAATAATTATCTAAAACATTTATAAACATGTTTGGCAAAGAAGCTGTCAAACTCATAACAGAGCTTGATATGTATGAAGATATCGGTCCATTTAAAGTAAGTATCAAAAAAATATTCTAATAACATTCTTTGTAATATTCTGTTTTACTTAGTATTCTAAATAAAGTAGTGGCTTCTAAAACAGTTTATAATAGTTTCTAAATAAAATTAATTTACTGATAATTTACAGGAGCAGCTGCTGCGACAAGTTTTCGAAGAAATGCAAATGCTGTATGAAGCAAACTTAGTGGACAGGTATATTTATTTTCATAACCAGCATTAACTTCATTTTCTATTCTCTAAGATGTAAAGGACTAATTCATAAGAAGTTGTCGTTTTTTTAAATTTGATTGTATATTGTCCAAGCACAATCTTGCTAAAAAAAATTTGATAGAATTAGATAAGAAAAATCTGTATAACTAAACATAAGTAATATATATGTAAACATATATTTGATGAAAAGAAAAAAAATTACACAGAAAAGTATATTTAGATAAATATTTAATTATTTAGTAATATTTAATAATTATTTAATAATTATTTAATAATTATTTAATAATTATGTTAAAATTATGTTAAGTTACATCATATAAAAGTTAAAAGTAAGTTACATTATATAAAATAAAAGAAATTGATAATTTTTCTATATGAAATTTCCAACAGAAATAATAAGTTTAGATAAAGTCATATAGTATTAATCATATAGTATATCAATAAAATTTGTACATATTTTTATCCATCTTGAACGGACTTGTTAAACAGAGAAGTATCGGAAATTCAAAGAATTCTTGTTAAAAGAAAAAAGAAAAACTGATTCGAAAATATTCGAGGAACTCTTGCACGAAAATAGAATCAATTTCTGATACATTAAAATGACAAAATATTGCGTAAACGGTCCGATATAGCAGCGAGTATCGACAGCAATATAATTGAATAATAAAAAAATTTTTGATAACGGGGAGTTTCAATGGGGGCGGTATTCTTTACAGACTTTCCTTGTTTTCAGTAACGCGATACAGAACGAAGGGAACAATGCGTTGTTGCCGTCCGTACGCTTTCGACATACAGCTCTGCTGAGAAACAAAAGATGTGTCCTGGCTTATCTGTATCATCGTATCAAGCGATTACGCAAGATGCGGTGGGAATTGGGCAGCATTTTACCGACTGAAATTACCGCCAACTTGCTGAACGCGGAACTGCAGTGGTTTCAGAATTACAATAAATCTTTAGCCACTTACATGAGATCGATCGGGGACGATCACGGATTGAACTTGACTGTGAACATGAGTCCGCCGAAGACACTTTACGTCGAGGTGAGTAATATTGGGAGAAACAATATCTTAAAGATAAAATGTATTTATTCAGTGGGCACTGTATTCAGACAAAGGTACTGAACATAGCATGCAAACGTTTAATGTATATTTTTGACATTATTTTAAACAGCACAAACATATACTTGTTTTAAGAAATTTATTACGTCATAATTTAAGTAAAAATATTCACTTTTTATTAGTATAATAATTCTGAATTAATTTCGTTCTCTTTTTGCGGCAAAATAAACAACAATTTTCATGATATCTTTTATGTACTGAAAAAATTCTCATTGTATGAAGATACATCTTTGCATATTTGTGCTAGTCAAATAGGTAATATGCTGAAATAGGTGTAATAACATATTTATTTATTGTAATAAACATCTGTATACTGAGAAAACGTTTTTTTTTTTTAATCAAGAAATATACATTTTGTTAGAATTGTACACACAGAAAAATATATATTGTATTCAAGTAAATGTTATTTGTTTCATATATTTTATAAGTTTATATGTCTGCAAATCTACCATAAGCTCGTCATAAACATCAAATTTATTCAAAATATGTTCTGAATCTTAGTAAATTTAATATTTCAATCGAGAATATTCAATGAAAACAAAAATTCGGTTTGCTTACTACATAGAGTTGAAACAACTTTCTTTTTTATGAAGTTTTGTGATATTCTTCTCTAAAGAAAATAAACTCTTCTTTTGAATATATAATAATGAACTCTTCCCAAATTTGTGGTCAGTATATTTTAAAACTATTATCAAAAAATATGCTTTGCTGAAAATTACCATTAAAAAAACCACTTAAAAAAGAAAGTAAACTAAATAATTGCTTGTCTTAGCAATATAATATCTTTTTATATAGTTTTTGTTAAAAGCAATTATTTAATATATGTAAATAAAAGAATTTAAATTTAAGTAAGTATATTTTTAGTGTCCATTAAATATTTTTTTTTTAGATATTTTGCTTCAATATATAAGTGAAAGTCGTTAAACTTCAGGAGAAATCAAGTGCTTTGTATAATTTGATATTTTGGACTTCCACAGTGTGAGGAAATGCTTGATCTGGCTTTCAATTTTGGAGCTGCGTTCTACGTGATATTGTTTCCAACGTTTCGCGAACTTTTTCAAGAAGAAGAACGACCGAAAAATTTAACCTGAAAATTATATTTCGGCCTGAAAATTTCAGGTCGTTCCTCTCCTTAAAAAGTGAATTAGTAATGTTCACGAAACGTCAGAAGCTAATTCACAAAATACGCGATACCAACTCAGAAGCCGAATCAAGCTTAATATTTAAATAATTAGCGATTTAATATGCTTAAATCAGAGACTCACGCGAACGATAATCAAATGATGATGCAAGATATAACTTATGTACAATGCTGAGTGATAATAAGTACAATTGTTCCAGGTGAAGTGCTTGACCGACTTCGGCAAGTTGGAGCTCGACGATGGCGAGGTGGTTACGCTTAAGAAGAACACATATCATCTACTGCCAAGAGCCACGTGCGAACCGCTAATCAGGCAAGGTATACTTGAACATCGTGAGTGATATTTGCGCATAATATTATCTGCGATATACACCGTGAAGAAAGAAATCAAGGTCTCCTTTCATTCTTGTTGTTTCTATCGTTTTTACGTCGCGCCCACTGAACTCTACCAATATCTCGCGTTTAGCGATTCTACCCACATTTTAGTGGTATATTTTCAGATGACCTTACAGTCTATGGGTGTGACAATAAACGTTTATTTTATCAGACAACGGCAATGAACTACTTTGACCTTTCCTCTTAAATTAGCCGATTCGGTGGGATGACTTTCGTGCGGTGAAATGTTATCACAGGAAGAACACGCTTTTACTTATATTATTACGGGGATTTCGAGTGCAAGCGTAGCACGGCAGACTATACACTAGTCTACCACGCTAGAGTTCGATTCCCAAAGGAAAGGAAAATTTTCGGACGCTCGCACTCTCCGTTCTTGGTATGCGTGGCAAAACCCTCCGAGAATATAGGATAAGAAATATAAGGATAAGAAACCCAAAAAGGAAAGAAATTTGCCAATATAGGTTTAAGATACATATAGGATAAAGAAAAAAATATATAAGGAAGGAAGGAATAAAGGAGGAAGGAAGAAAAAGGATAGGTTAAGATATAAGATTTTGTTCTTTTCAACTGAACTAGTGCTGCACTAGAACTGCACTGGTTCGGAACTGGAACGAGTACAGCAAAAGTTTCATAGATTCAGACATGTCAGATAGGATGGAAAAGAACGCCATAGTGCAGGAAACAACATGGTGCAACACATAATTTTAGATGCAAATAATTCTTCAGATGAAGAATTTACTGTACTTGCGTTAATGTATGTATCTCAATTGCCCGAAGAACCTATCTGGGATATTGCCACCTTCATTCCTTTTAATTTCTGCAATATTTATCTGTTCCATCTTCATAGATTTGTTCTTTTCACCTGAACTACTTGCACTGGTACAGTAACTTTTATCCTTGCACTGCACTGCACTGCTTGCACTGAACCTGTTTTCTGTTCCTGCGCTGCTGAACTGGTGCAATAAATTAGAATGAGACAAGTATATTTTTTCTCGCTCTAACTTATTGCACCAGTTCAGCAGTGCAGGAACGAAAAACAAACCTACTAGCTCCAGACTCAGTGCAAGCAATTCAGTGAACTGTTGCATTAAGTTGCTTGGAAAGAACAGTAACCTCTGACGTCACTTCTGCTAGAAAGAACGCACCAGTGTACACTTCTTGAACTAATGCAAGAAATTCAGCTGGAAAGAACAAACCTATAAATAGGTTAAGATACGAGGAAAAGGAAAAATGTAAAAAGGGTATAGAAATTTAAGGAAAAGAATATACATAGATACTTCTTGGCGAGAAGCTGAAGTGGAAAAATAAAATAAAAATAATACGATACGATATTACGGGGATTTCCCGAGTATAGTAGCTTCGCGACAACGGCAGTGCGAAGCAGTCTCGTACTCAATCGCACTAAGCACAGTTCTCACACAATTTTGCCGATAGCGCGGGAGCTTTCTGTTTTATCGTACTCATTTATGCAGTTTCTTTCTCGGTAAGAGTCGGTTAATCGTCTGCTATCTGCTATCTCATGTAACTATTTTGGGTTTCCTTGTGGTACTACAGAGAGAAAAAGAAAAAGATAACAGTGGACAGTTGCGGTCTGCAACTTCGAAGAAAGAAGGGAGGGTGTCGGCACATTTTACAGTGAGTGATCAGTGCAAAGATTTCGGTGCAGTTCGACTGATAATCAGTAATGACGATGCGATTCAGAGTCGCGATGTCTCGTAACAACGGGTAAGACATCAAAAATATTTTTGCGAGATCTCTCTTTGGGGAAGGATTTAAAAATCCGACTGTGAATGCCATATTTTTAACCCTTCGTTGATAAATCTATTTTTTCACTGTTTAGTTTGACACACTGGCTCCGTGAAAATTTTTCTGATATGCCTTTACTGAAGGAAAAGTTCGGGTCGAGACAGTAAAAAAATATCCAGTAAGCAAATTGAGCGCAGACTGCACGCAGATTGGCAGCAAATTTGATAAAAAACCACAGCAAAACCATAGCCATCTGTGTCTACATTAGGCTACGGTTTTGGCGACAGATCTTGCTGTCGGACAATTGGTGCCAAATTTGCAGCAAAAACCGCGCAAAGCTTGCAACGCAGCAAAGTCTGCGCGGTTTCTGCCGCCAATCTGCCGTCAAATCGCTACAAGTTCTGCGTAGTTTTTGCTGCAAATCTGCAGCAATTATCCGACAAGCTCTGGCGCATATTTGGCGGCAATTTGGCAGTAAGATTTGATATAACAGATCCTGCATCAAATTTGTTATCTATTTGCCATCAAAAGTTAATAGCAAGCTCTGCTCGAAATCTATTCGCGCAGGTTTGGCTATCTGGGTAAGAGGTTTTTACGAATTTTTTTCAAAGAGATAATTAAAGATATCAATATAATATTTTTATCGTATTGTCTATCTATTGTTTTATAATTATGAGAAAATTATTAAAGAAAATTTAAATTCCGTTTAAATATGTTTTGTGTTGAGTGCAGTGTCGTCGAATGTTTCTAATTGCAGCTCGTATAATAATCTAAAATAAATAGGAAAAGAAATTTTAAAAACTATCAAATTGCTGGAGAATAAATTTAAATTCTTTAGAAAATTCCCAAAATTAATATTTTTCTTAAGACATTAAATAAAAAAGAAAGAGAGAACATAACTTCGAAATATCGCCACTTTATTAAGTATCAACTCTCTACATATAACAAAAGTTTATTCTTAAATTTAATACAGTTTTTTAATTTTCTCTCTTATTCTATTTGCTTCAAATTGTTATATAAACTGTAATATTGCCTATTAGTTAGGGGCGTCCGGTGACGCATTCAGCAAAGAAACTTAGATGACGAAAATTCAGTTCTTTAATAAAAATAATTTTTTATACTTGACATAAATAATATGATCAAAACTTTATATTGATATTTTATACATTTCTTTGAAAAAAATGGTAAAAACTTCCTATTTTTTCGGTTCCTAAACCAGGAACTCTCCTTCAAATATTTATAAATGTGCTCATCTAGAATACAGATTTTTTGATTGCATAAAAAATAAATTCGCCGCTATCATTATATTTGAAACAGATAATTTAAGGTAAGTACGTAATTTAAGGTAAGATTCAACAATTATTCCAGGGTTGGGAAGTAACTTGTTACTTGTAACGAAGTTACAGTTACAGTTACATTTTTTCGATAACTGTAATTTAACTTAGTTACTTATTTTTAGTAACTTTTATTTTTAGTAGTTTGTAACTTTTTTAACAGTTACTTTAATAGTTACTTGGGGAACGTAAAATAAAATTAAAATTATATGGTAATCGTATATTAATTTAATAAATTTATCATTTATCAATATTTAATAAATTTATTTATAGAATATGTGATTAAATTCTTTTACCTTTCTACAAGACTATCATTAAATTTTTGTTATATTAAGTACATATTTAAAATTTATTAAAATAAACTAATTAATATAATGTGATAGATATTAATTATAAAATGCAATCGTTACATTTTAGTAAAACTTAAAATGTAAGATTTTCGTATTTACAATACGAAAATTTACAATCATATAAAAAAAGTAACTAAAAGTAAGTAACGACTCGTTACTTTTTGAGTAACTGTAACTGTAACGAGTTACTTTTCATAGCCAGTAACTTGTAACTATAATTAGTTACATTTTCAGCAAAGGGAACTGTAACTGTAACTAGTTACTTTTAAAAAGTAACTTTCCCAACCCTGAACTATTCTTCGTTTTTTGCTTAATTATCGTTCAATTTGGCCCATGATTACAATTTACGCTAATAAGGGCGAGTAAAATTTACTCGCTCATCCTTAATTATTTTATCGTAAACTTCAAAGACTTCGCTTGAAGAACCAGAGAAAAGGTGCGAGTGACTTTTACTCTCTTCGTCGCTGCTTAATATTCTACGGGCGCTAATCGGGAACACAATCATGAACTATGAGCAATTCTCCAGACAGCTACGCGACGCAATTATAAACGATATCGTAGACACTGTTTATCTAGGTGTTTATCCTTTCCGCAAAAGTAGCATTGCGCATTGCCGCGCTAGAGCGCAGTATCGTGCGTCATCTGATTTGTTTTTCTCGAGTTTATTGAAAGCTGATGGGGGGGCTACGAAGAAATATGCGCGGTATTTATTCTCAGTTTCGACATTTAATCCTCTGACGCACTTCGGGAGACACAAAATAATTTTGGTCTTTTTTTCCAGCGTCGTTAATTTATTCGGGCTCGAATTTATTCACGAATTACGCAGCGAATAATATAAATAGACAATTTTCATAAATATGTATAATAATAACGCATCGAGCGTATTGCGTAGATTATCCGCACATGTTTCGAATGTATTTCAAAAGAAAGTTCAGGGCCGAGCGCCAAAACTACCGGGAAGACGAATACCACGTTGCTCGTAATTCAAACGCCAAATAACATTAACAATGCACGCTGTCGAGCTTGCCCTCTTCGTCGAGTCAGCGTACTTTCCCGACTCTGCGTCGCTTATTTAAATAATAATGCTATTCGCCTTTCAAAGACGCATCTAATGAATGTTAAGGTATTGTACGGTATCACTCGCGGGCTGCACTCGCGTGCATAATTGCAGGTATGATTTCGTATGCAGCGTTTATCGCGCACGCATACAATCGCACACGTGCATACTTATGCGTTTCAGTACTCATTGATAAGTAATGCAGTAATGAAAAGTGACACTCGACATTATAAGCGATTTCCGCGACGTTTAACCCACGTAAAAAGGAATATATACATAATTATATAAAATTGTGCATATATAATTTTATATATATAAAATTAAAATTATAGAAAATATATTTATATTACATATTTAAATTATATATATATATATATATATATATATATATATATATATATATTATATATAGGGTGTCAAATTGCTGGAGGATGAACTTAAATCCTTTGAAAAATTCCCAAAATTAATATTTTTCTTGGGACACTAAATAAAAAAGAAAGAGAGAACATAACTTATAACTTCCCATCACTACCACATTTTCTCCTAATGACGGATTCCTGAGGTAGTTTGAAGAAAAAAATCCTAATGCAAATATGTTGAGGCTATAATACTTTTCAAATTATAAACAATTAAAGTTGATCAGTTATATTGGCTAAAGTACGCGCGCTCAGGTACGGTACAACACAGAGTGGTATAGGTGCATGCACATGTCACTCCTTTTCCAAATATTATCCTACGAGTTCCTACTTTATAGATAAAAAATCGATATTCTTGACATATGCATATTATGTGTATTAATTTGATTTAATTTATTTTAATAGTTTACAAGAAATATTGATCGATTTATTGATATGTAGCAATCTTCTTTATCACAAGTGAGAATTTGCATAAGATATGAAATAGTTGTAAATCTCTGAAAGAAACGTCAAATGTGTCACAGCTTATTGATTCTCATAAATGTATTGTGTGATATTTTATTCATAACATTTTGAAGAAATTATTATTTGTGATGTTTATTTAAATGATAGAAAAGACAGATTATTATTACATACATTATTGTATGTATTGAACTTCCGTATCAATATTTGGAAAAGGAGCGACATGTGCATGCACCTGTATCACTGTATGCTGTACCGTACCTGAGCGCACGTACTTTAGTCAATATAATTGGTCAACTTTAATCGTTTATAATTTAAAAAGTATTATAGCTTATAGATATTTTTTCATTAGGATTTTTTTCTTCAAATTACCTCAGAAATCTGTATATATACAGGGTGTATCATTTAAGTTGACACAACACGCAAAATCTCAGCCCTATTATTGATGAAATATAATTACTTCTCATTTGAAAACTATTATAGCCTCGATATTTTTGTATGAAAGTTCTCGTTTTAAAATGTTCTAAAGAATCTGCCATTAAAATAACATCCGGTAGTTTCGGGACACTCTGTATGTATGTATGTATATGTGTATATATATATATATATATATATATATATATATATATATACACATATACATACATACATACAGAGTGTCCCGAAACTACCGGATGTTATTTTAATGGCAGATTCTTTAGAACATTTTAAAACGAAAACTTTCATACAAAAGAAAAATATATATATATATAAAATTATAAATATATTTCTTTTTATTATTCAACTACATCTTTTTATTATTCAATTATATC